CGCCCTAAGTGCGACCTAGTGCATTTTGTCTGTCTCATCACACTTCACGGCGAAAAAAATTGTTCTGTTGAAGGCTAATGAATAAAAACAAAATGCAAATATTAAAACAGACTAAAGTTATAGCAACAATGCCAGGCTATTACCTTGTTCGAGGAATGTATACATCCATATCCAAATGGAGGAAGGACATGCCATTCATCTGCAGCTGACAAAGAATCCTGCTCCATGCCATGTGTCTTTTAACAGTCTAATAAGCGAAAAAGTGATATATCGTTTCAGGTATTTCACATTGGTGTATAGTCTCATTGGTCACACAATGACCTGGCAACTAATTGCATGATGTTCGCCATTCTTTAAAAACGTAATTTAGTTAGCCAATAATGAGCAATCAATCAAGGTATAGGCGGTTAATCCTTTCAAGGTAGGACGTTGTCTTTCATAAACACTATCTTTTGACAAATTCGCTGTGCAAGATAAAAGTTATTAATCAATCAACGTGTTATCGTTTAATCCTTTGATCGATGTTGTTTTTGTAACTCAGCTGATGATTCCTCTTGCTCTTCCATATTACTAACACATTTCCCACATCAGACCTTAATTCATAATGTTGAGTATTTACTTCAGACACGAGAAATGCCAAATGGGAACCCTTGTCGGGTAATCTAAGTGGTGTTACCACTAATTACACCTGTTATAAATTCATTAACTGACCATCAAGTGAATGATGACAAATAACATGTGTAGGTTTATACCACCAAACATGGGTCACAGCAAAGGAGTTGTAATCGCTGTATTGGATGCAATTTTAATTGCCTGAAAAACGTATGGGCCGAAACTGTTTTGAGGAACTTCATTGTTACATAAGAAATACATTTAAGTTAAAAAGTGTATGAACCTTTTTACCAAAGTAAAGTTTCTGATTTTTCTAGCAATGGCAAAGTGGGGTTGTTTAGTTTACGGATTCAAATAAATCAAATGTTGGTTTTTAATATCGCAGGTAATAGACATCATATTTTACATGTTATGATTAAATATCGATTTAAAAAACACAGAAATAGGATTAAATTGGATCAGTCACCATAACATCCAGGCATTAGAAAATCCGAAAAGCCAACACTGCTGGGATACTTTATTACAATCAGACAAGAACTACCGGGGATATTTTCAAATTTTGGCATCCTATGGGCATCCACCCTTCTTAATGTCCCACTGTTTAGATTGAAGAAATTCTGCCAAGGTGGACAGCAGCCCAGTCCCCGTGTCCGTCACGGTCGAGGGAGCAGGTACTGAGCTTGCAGCTCAGTTTTGTAATTATTCATTTTCCTTTTTTTTTTTAATTCAGTATTTCGGGCCTAAAGGCCTATAGTACAAATACACTTGGTACAATAAAGTGCACGTGGTGTTGGTGACATGTCTTGCATTGAAGACATGTTTTAAATAAATTGCAATAGATTTGATAATACCAATATTCTTAGAATTTAACAGACTTGACAATATTTGGTTATCTCTTACAGGTGCTGATATAAATGATAAATACTAAATTCGTAAATCTGAATACTTGGTACACACAAATAATACATGTAATTCACTTTCAATATTACCTGTATTACAATTTTTACAGATAGATTCACTTACATCATTGAAAGCTCTATTGGGTTTGCGTAAATAGTGAATTCTAAAATCATGAAAGCCAATTCTAAATTTACACAACACCCGTATTAACGATTTGTCTTGTAGATTCATAATATAAAACTCCGGTTCTAACAAAGATTTATGAGAAGAATAGTGTTCTAAAAAACTTGAATTATTTATAGACATAGACCATTCTTGGAAGAAAATGTCCTGAAGACGTTGCCTCAAAAATTACATTCATTTCCAACCGTTTGTGAAATCCACACATGAGAAAATCCAGTCGAAAAAAGTAACCGTCTAACCTCTGATGCCCAATTAAACTTGCCAATATCATCTTGCAGCTTTAGGGAAATATAACTTTGCCAAGGGTACCTATAAGAATCCATTTTTAATAATTTCAGCCAAAATTTTATTACTCTTAATTTGGTGAGTACAAATATATTGCAACGACCAGTTTCCCCTAATACAGCCTTTTTTAAAGCATACTTTCCCAAATTTATGAAAGTGTTTAAAATATGATGCATGAACCTTTTCTATACAGTGAAAATATTTAGTTCCCCAAATTTCGGACTGACTAAGCTCACAAATCAATACAAATCAAAATACAAAACAAAATATCATTATGGTAGTGCAAAAAGGTGTGGCAGTAACAATTCAAAGGTAGAGCAAAAGAAACGCCACCTTTCAAAACCAAATGCAACATTTTGTTCTCACAAGGTAGTGTTTTTATTATGATTGTACCGTTTTGAAAGTTATTACCAACATCAGTGTTTCCTGATGAAAAGGCATATCGACCAAACGAATCTAAAAAGGCAGACGTGGTAAAAGGTTCCGTATGACATTCATAAAAATTAAAATGCACGTGCATATCGTGACAACCCTACCAATGAAAGCGTGTCTCAAACTGGCCTGAAATCATTGTTTTGACACAATCGCCATGCCACGACTTACGAGAGATCAGAGGAACCAAGCCTTGGGACGATTGCAAGTTGGCCAGATTGCACGGAGGGTAGCCAATCATTTTAGGAAAATCTACCGACTGCAGGGGGGGTATCAAGCGACTAACAACATTCAAGACCGCCGACGCAGTGGACGACCTTCAGGGTGTCGGGTGCAATCGGTCTGAACCAGAGAGTTGGCGCCGTGGTGTTCCAGAATCCCTGTTCAGGACTAGGAAATGGCTTGACAGCTGCTCGCTCAATTGACCAAGTCATAAAATCCAAAGTTGTACCAGATTGTGGACGTCACAGAAATCACATCTTCAGGCTAGACAACGCTCGTACCCACACTGCCAGGGCAACATTGGACTTTCTAAGACCATTGGAATTCACAACCCTAGAATGGCCTGCACTCAGTTCGGATTTAAGTCCAATAGAACACCTTTGGGACGAGATTCATAGAAGACTGAATGACCCCCACCCAAGGCCAACAACTGCTGCTAGACACGATCGGGCATTTCTCAGAGTATGGACCCAAGTGCCTATGGCCTTGATCAACCAGCTAAGTCATTCAATGTACAGACGATGCAACGCCGCCATCGATGCCCATGGAGGCCACACACGATACTGACTTTCAGGTATCTTAACGGTAATAATTTTGGTGATTTTGTTTGTGTGAACTCTAAATGTGATTTCCGAAAATGTGTATAAATGTCCATAATTCTCAATCCTCCGGTTTTTTGACGTTTCTTTTGCGGTTCAGTATACACTAATCACTAGCAGTGAATATAGTTATAAAGTGATAGTAACATTAACAGTAATGAGTATCCAGGGTATAATGATCATCATACACAATGTTGGTCATCTTGTAGCTTGAGATAATATGTGAGATGAGAGGCAAGCGTTAACCCATATACCTAAGAAAAAGATTCCTTACTACTCTGTAAGGCAGATGATTATGGACTCAGTTCACGTTACAAATCTTTCAGTCCACATCTAGTACAAGTCTAAATATACAGCATACCGCTGCCCCTCCTTAATGTCAATAGGAAGAGTGTACTACACTTGGAACATTGTTACATACTGAATAAGAATGTCACTACATTCTAAGATCAAACTGTGAATGAAAACCATAACAGATATCATATCCACAAGTGGATGTCCCAAGCTCAATACGTGGATAAAAGTGGAATGAACCTGGTTTTCAGGGTATCTATTTAACATGCGTGTAACAAGCTTTAGGTGCCCATGAACAGATAAATGTATTTTAGTATGTAGGAAGGAAAACCACAGGAGAAGAGTCAAGGATGAAAAGTCATGGAAATAAAGTCACGGGAAAAACAGTCACAATATAATAATACATATTAGTGGGTGGTAAAATTGCCAAAAACGCTATTTAACTATTTCTTAATTAAATCTATTTCTTAGTATATTACTTTGATTATGTTTTGACCCGTGAAGATCCAGGTTAGTATTGATCTTCAGTAACCCATGCTTGTTGTAAAATACAAAACACAACCGTCAAAATAACAGTAAGCTGTGACGCATGGAATGGTCCAGACTCGACTATTTACAGACCGCCGCCATATAGCTGGAATATTGCTGAGTGCGGCGTATAAACTAAACTCACTCACTCACTGATTATGTTTTGTTAATATAGTAATTACTGGGTGGCTTCTCAAATGTTATAAAAGCACTTTGACCACAGTTAGCTATGATCATTTTGTGTGATGATTGTCTGTTTATTTACCTGGTAAGAAGACATGAAACTTGGCTTCTGATTCTGACTGAGTGTTAGAGCGAGAACACTGTGTTTTGTAAATTAAGTGGTGTTTCCTATGTTTCAAAACACAATGATCACAAGAATTACTTTTGATCTTTTTGTGTCATGAGATTTGGCTTCTGATTCTCACTGAGTGTTAGAGCGAGTACACCGTGTTTTGTTGATAAAGTTGTCTTTCAAATGTTTTCAAAACACCATCACCACAATTACTTTCCCATCATTGATTTTATTAAGAACGACAAAGGCGGTTTGAAAATAGTATTTGAAGGACACACGTACGGTAAGCATGCAAGTCGTAAGAACAAAATCTGGTTGATATGTACAGAGAGTCCAGTATGTCATAAATTTAATAAAATTGGTTATTGTGTTTATTTTCCTGTGACATTTTGACTGTGACTTTTTTTCCAGTCACCGTATTTTACAGATACGTTACAGCACTCGATCTGTATGTAAACATCGTATATAATTGTTGTGTGTATAATAAGGCATATACAAATTGCATATAGGTATTTATTCAAAACTGTGTAGAACTGAATGTAATGCACCGTCATAGCATTCACATCAGATATAAATGTATCTGATGAAGGCGTCTAGAGGGAGAGAGAGTAGATTGTGCGCGTGAATCGGTGGCCTGATAAGTCGAGGTCGGGGACGAAGTCCACTCTGTCGATCCAGTTGAAGGAAATGCCGAGTTTTACCCAGCAATATCTCTGACGTCGTCGTACATGCACCAAGTTACCAAGGCCACGTATTACTTCAAAATATTCGGTAAGTGAGGGAATGTATCCGGGTAAAATCATTTGAGGGTGGGGGGTGGGGACTTGACACCCCTGATACAGTGTGTTTGCTATGAGTTGATTACGTCGAGTAAATGGTTCCATTATGTGTCCATGTTCACTTGGGGATGAATTGGTACATAAAATGGTATGACAGTTTATATTTGTTTGTTCGCTCACTGAAGTACACTGTTAGGAAAAAAACCAGCCGTTGAGTGTTACTGGACTTTCCCCTGTACTGATACTGAATGCAATGATTGCTGCATCTGTGTGCACACTAATCCAGCGTACAGGCGTACTTAGGAATGAATGCATTTCAGTGCAAAATGTATGACAATTACAGGTACTTTACATGCATAGTTCGTTTAGTGTAATCATTCATTGGTTCCATTAAATGATATACCAAACAGGTTATTTTGAAAATATTCACCGTCAGTTAATACATACACTGTAGGTTGCATAACATATCCGTCCTCTTACAGTACAGGCATGACATCGTTTTACTTATGAGAAATGGCTGGTGATCGTTATAATGGGACCTAAAGGTATTTGATTATCTGCTTCTGATTTGACTGAAGAAAAAGAAACCATCATCAGGTGGCACATGTTTTGACCGAAGAACAAGCCAAACTAATGTTGATGCTACAGTGCCATCTGCCTGAGACCACACACCACAGGGTAACATGGATAGCCAACTCAGACACATTATACCTGTACTGATTCAGAGCCGACCTTGGATATTCATTTTACGTCGAGTTTTGTATCAACAAACACCAACCCTCAGTGTCTTTTGATATGACAGGGCCAAGAACAACCCTTCAGGGTAGACACTACATAAACTAGACCACGGATGCGGTACAAAATGCTTTGAAAGGCGTTCAAAGTCAAGCAATACCGACTGAACTCGATCATTGTGCACACACATGTTTTACTGTATATCCACGGACGGATCTGTGTTTTACCATTGACAAGGAAAGCACTCACAGTTCACTGATGAGGTGAGCCTCATGCCTAGTCTGTTTGTTGTGACTAATGATGCGTTTAACTAAGCATATCATGACATTATAAGTTACCACATCGTGTCTCGGGAAATACGGGGTTTTATCAGTCCCGAGTAAGCCTCCGGCTCGGGGAATACAACCTTACTCGGGACTGATAAAACCCCGTTTTTCCCGAGACACGATGTGATAACGCATTTATCTAGCCGAATGTTTTGCTTCAATTTCATTCTCAGTTGTTGTGGCAAAACGTTTCCTTGCTGCCATGTTGACAACAGCTGATCGATTGACCTCAATGCAGCGCACGTTACTAAAGGCTTGGCGTGGCGGGATAATATTACTTTTGTACTCCCTGCTCGCGGATCGTGACGGGTGTAAATGGTATTTTATCAGAGTCACGTGAACCAATCAAAACTCGACATTCTTACATGAGGCTGGATAAATGTTTTTATCTCTCTCATCACACCAGGTTTTCAAGATGGTGTGGCTGTACGCTGTAGCTGCGGTGGTGGCTTTTCTTCTCCTGAAGGAGCTGATGAGACTTCCAACTGTCGGCAAATATGGGGAGCGTTACGTGTTCATCACCGGCTGCGACACCGGCTTTGGGAACCTACTGGCCAAACGACTGGACTCCCTCGGCTTCAACGTGTTTGCAGCGTGTTTCTCTGAAAGAGGAGCAGACGAACTGAGGAAAGTGTCGTCTGCCCGACTGAAGACGTTGTCCTTGGATGTGACTAAACCTGACAGTATTGTGAAAGCGCGTGCAACAGTAGAAAAACAACTTCCGTCAAATAAAGGTAATTCGTACCCTCGTTACATAGTCAAACATCATGGCGTTGAACTTTAATGTAAAAACTTAGTCTTAATTTATATTGATAATTATTTCAGCATGTGTGCTTTGCGAGCGAGAGAGAGTGAGAGAGATAGAGAGAGAGATAGAGAGAGAGAGAGACAGAGAGACAGAGAGAGAGGGAGAGACAGAGAGACAGAGAGAGACAAAGAGAGAAAGACACAGAGAGAGAGACAGAGAGAGACAGAGAGAGAGATTGTATGCTTGTGTGCTTGTGATGAGGATGATGGAGCTATGGCACCATTCGTTGCACATAAAGTTACTGATGTCACAGAACGCTCGAGAATGGAAAACCAGCTGTATGCCGAGGTATGGGGAACTTGGCTCTCTTTGCTGGTAGTTATTCATGCCTATATAATTGTTCTAGTTTTTATGACCTGTAGCGGGACTGTTTATGATACTGTGTGATTGTTAACATGTTGGTGACTTCGGGTTACAGTACGTCCCTAGCAGCTTAGTGATGAAAACCTAACGGATGTGGTTATAAATCTGGATAAATTCGTTATAAAACAAACGATAATTAGGTAAAGGTTGGAAAACTGAAAGAACAGGAACATGTACTTTCACGGTAAACTGCGATATCTTTCGAATTATTTTCCCTGTTCTTCGTTACTGCACCCTTTGCATTTCCCTTTGTATCGCTGTTATATTGGCAGGTTTGTGGGCAGTAGTTAACAACGCAGGAATATCAGGCGCCGTAGGTCAGATAGAGTGGCTGAACAGGACGGACTATGAGCGTTGTCTGTCCGTCAATCTGTACGGTGTCATCGACGTCACAAAAATATTCTTGCCGCTTGTGCGCAGAGGAAAAGGTCGTGTGGTCAACATTTCTAGCATGGTAGGAAGAACAGCAGCTGCTCATGCAACGTATGTCGTGTCTAAATATGGGATTGAAGGATTTACAGACTGTCTGCGGTTTGTATTGATTTACGACTGAGGTTATGTTGTATGAATAGTCTTCTCTACATAAGATATCCTTCCACAGCTGGCGTCCACACAGGGGTTTCAAAATTTGTATGATGTTAAACTACAGATTCAACACTGTCTGTGCATTATCTTGAGCTTGCTGCCAAAGTTGATTCCATTTCACAAACTGGGATCGTTGTATAATTATCGGACCCTTGAATACCCGGGTCATAATTGGTTTTCAGCAACCCATGCTTGTCATACCTGGAGACTGACTGCATCATGACTATGGTCAATCTCGCTGACGTGGTTCATGCATGTCATTGTATCTCCACTTGCATAGACCTATGTTCGCCATACCAATCACCTGTTTGTCTGGTCTACACTCTATTATTTAAAGACCTCCGCCATATCCTGGACAGGACCAAACCATGTTAACTGTTGATGTATTCCCTTTGTTCTGTCAACTAATGAGATCATATCGTGTCATCATTGTTCACCAATTGTTGACTTTTTATAATTTTTAGTTCTATTCTTTCAGACGAGAGGTTTTAAAACAGGGTATTAGCGTTCATTTGTTGGAACCCGGGTACTTCAAGACAGAGATTGTAAACATTGATACCATAAAGCGATCGGTCCGGGACAGCTTCAACCAGGCGGACCCAGAGGTACAGCAGTACTACGGGAGCGAATACGTCCAGAAAAGTATGCAGTCAGTGTGTGAGATATTGTATAATTAGTTCATTTCCAGCATTTTAGTCACAAAATGGTCTTCATAATATGAACCCTATAATGGAATCGACAATGAACTGTGAGTGTGGCCTGCAACCATTAAACTCAATTACTAAGATGTCCACATGGTTTTTCAAAATAAAAGCTTTCAATACATGCACCTACATTTATTCAGAACACTGCGTCCTTTCCCGTGTGTGTGTTCGGTAACTTCAACTTGAGACAACATATCTAATTCTGGATCGGTTGCAGCCAGATTCACAGTATAAATGATCAAATGCCTGTTAACATGTATAGCTCGAACTTCATTAAGTGACGGCGTCGTTTCCCTGTTTGGCGTTGTGGTCAATATTTGTTGTGGCCACCATGAATCATTTTGAGAATACATTAAAAATATAAAGGTTAGAGCAGGTGGGTTTGACAAAAACGGGTGTGGAATGTATTTGCTTCTGAGAATGGAGTAGGATGGACAAACTAGCATAAAATGGATTTTATTCTCAACTGCGGATTTATATAGCGGACAAATTCTCCTGTTCATTTCTAAGGACATTTTTGTGCCTTCATGCATCATTAAAGTTAATCCTGATAGAAAATAACAACAGTTTGGTTTTTAAAATTATATTAAAAGAGATTTATATTTCCAATGGTTTGGTTCATCAAAATACAACCATAACCATGAGAGAACAAAAGGTTGCCCGTGAGATTTTGCCGATGTTGTCTAAATGTAAAAGCATATTATAAGCCAGTTTTGGAGTCTATTTTCATGCATACCAATAATTAAGCTTTATCCAATACTTCAAGCATCTAATCTGAGAATTTATATATAATGGGTGTCTCCCACATTCGCTGTAAACCATACAGTTTGGTGTTAATAACTCAACTGATAAATATCTTTTATATGCTAAGAGGTGAAGCTTTTCTAAACAACCATATTTTTGATATCCTCAAATATAACATTACTGGTTTTATTTGAAAGAGTTTGAAAAACATTTTAGGGGAGGTAATTGTATGTGAAACATAATGTCGAATAAGGCTTTCTTTGCTCTTGATGCTAAATCTGCAATGCTTTTAGAAAAGCTCATTGTAAGGGTAAACAAAAGACCAATATATTTATAATGACTATTCATCTTAAGATGTATCCCATTTACCACTTTTCATTTGCGGATAAGGATCTACCCCTCTTGAAAAAAACAATATTTGTTTTGTCGTAATTAACCGATAACTTCAATTCTATTGTGTAACGTCCCAAAATATTACAATTGATTTTATAATCCTACATTAGTGTCTGAAACGAAAATGACATCGTCAGCAAAAAGTAGCATCAGTATTTCAGTCATATCCGGGGACATTCAAATGCCATGTTTTCCATTATTAGCAATTTCGTAGTACAATTCATTGATGAAAAAAATGAAAACAACATTGGGCATTATTTTGCTGGAACAACTCCCTCTGTCGGTCAGAGATCGAAACAATGTGAATCCTTACAATTCTGTCTCTGTACCGAATAGCAGTTATATTGCTCTAAAGGCACACAAAGTTGGATTTCTGCGCGTAGCATATGGCTCCCCAAAACATGACACTCTCACCACCCTATCAGTCAACCTGGGCGACACATTTCTAGGCAAAAGGTTTCTCTTTCATCACGAGACTGAAGCAGAAAGCATGACCCGTCACCCGTACACGGCAACAGTTTCGTAGATTCCAGAATCGAATGTTATTGCACCACGGGAAGCGTCAGGTCGGTGTTGTCGTCGAGGCTGTGTATTCGTCCCATGTACACAAACCAGCATTATAATGGCAAATACGTTTCTATAAGGGAGGGTATATTATCAGCATCGACACTTTCTCGCCCGCATGTTTTTCCACTTTGATTTTACAAGTACTCATATATTGATTGAAGAAACAAATGGTGATCTTTAGATTCCGAAAAACCCAATATTTTCAGGCGTTCCAATTCATTTGACAAAAGTTCAATATTTGTTTCTGTCTTCCTAGTGAATTCCAGGATTGAAGTGATGATGGGACACCTGGATTTCCAAAAGACAGATCTCGTGGTGGACGCCTACACTCACGCCATTACAGCCATGTTCCCTCGCTTACGCTATCTCGTTGGCTACGACTGTAAATACATATTCAGACCTCTGTGGAATCTTCCTGAGTGGATATTGGATCGTATCTTGTCTTTAGGCTTCCTGAAGCCCGAAGGAGTAAAATGAAGTATGGAAGCAAAGAAGAGATTGGTCTGAGGTTGGAGCTCATTGTTTGAAGGGAAATACTATTGTAGGGTTTCGAATAGGTCTGGGGCTGGGAGTAATGGTTATGGCTAGTTCATGGTCAAAATAAGAGGAGTGGCGTAAATATCAGAACAAGTTCGAGGGGCTAGGACAAATGTCAGCAGACTAGAACAAGGACTAGAATTTGGACTTTGTGTTAAAGCGATAGCTAACACTTTGGGCTGGTCTAGCGCTGGAGGCGGACTGAGAAATTAATAGTCCAGAGGTAAACATATTGTTAGACCACTAGAACAGAAATACGTTGAGAAATACTCGCCTTTCAGAGATGTACATAATGATGCAGAAACCACAAATGATTTTGAGTCTGACATCGGAAGGATTCGGTTGCACATTTCACAAAACGTATAAGTCATATGAATTTATTTGAGTTGATAATCGAAAAGAAAGTGTGACACGCCGTTCAATTTGTATCATATGTAACGTTTGCTCTCGATTATGTTGTTGCTCTCGATTATGTTGTTACTATACCATATGCACGAATAATCATTATGGTGTTGTCATTATGAAACGTCAACTTCTAGTTCCACTGTCCTCCTACATACTCTGTTCATATTTTGGAGAGTGGAGACGATCCAGATTTATTTTTAATAAACATTAGTAAAACAAAGATTCGAAACAATTATGCCAGGGAATGAAGACATACCATTAGTAAATACAATCACGTTGTGTTAGCTGATGGAGAGAGGACTTAACACAGTCTGGAGTAATAGTTTGCATAGAAGTCTGGCATCGTGTTCATCATTTTTTTAAAGACAAAAACCTGTGAAATATGTAATGATCAGCAGCACCATATTCACAGCACGTACACAGAGATAAATGTCGACGCTACACACGATGAATATATTTCACTATGGATATATTCATGTATACAGATGGAAATATGGTCATATGAATATTATTTGAGTTGATTATTGAAAAGAAAGTGTGACACGCCTTTTGTCAAATGCTCCAATCAGCACACACGCACATAGGGCTGGTGTTGCGATTAATGTTCCCAGAGATGAAGACGTCATCGTTAATATAGAAAATATAACTTGTTCAGTTGGATTAACTTAACGTTGTCTGCTGGTCATACTGACTGCTTTCATCTGGACCATGTGTTGTGAGAAATATTCACTTCTTTGAGTGACACTGTTAGAAGTTGGAGAGTCAGATAAGAACAAACTTTATGGATGAATAACTTCTTTTAACAGTGATGCGACGTTTCGATACAACCCGTTTGACAAAAATACAATAATCTGTACGTCGCATTACCTGAATAAAGATGCTGTTCATCCATAACGTTTGTCTTTATCTGAGAAATGTTCAGTGAAGTAACTGCACTTTTTATTTTGGTCTTTGTGCATATTTCCGTGCGGCTGTGGATCCCCTTTGTGTGCCCTCCATACACAAGGTCTTCATGAAACAGGGATTTGTGTTACCCCCAATAGGTACGCAAAGTTCCTCCAAATTATTTAGAGTGATCATGCAACCAATACAGCCTATTTAAAGAACTATTCGTGTATTTATGATCGTAAGTACCGTACGTAATGCTTGTTTAATTTGTACCATATGTAACGTTGGCTCTCGATTATGTTGTTACTATACCATATGCACTACTCATCATTATAGTGTTGTCATTATGAAACGTCAACTTATTCCTCACATTTATGAGTACATGCACACTACAAACGGCGTTCAAGTCAGTGTCAGGTGTTTGGGGTAATGGGGGTAGAAGTACAAGCTTGCCTTCCGCCATGAAGACAGAACAAACACGTGCATCTCGTCCTCCACGTGGAGAGCAGAAGTACACACATCTAGTCCTCCACGTGGAGGGTACAAGTACACTGTCAGGCATTTCGTCCTCCATGTGGAGGGTAGAAGTACACTGTCAGGCATTTCGTCCACGTGCTCTGTAGAAGTACACTTTCATGCATTTCGTCCTCCACGTGCAGGGTAAAAGTACACTGTCAGGCATTTCGTCCTCCAAGTGGAGGGTAAAAGCACACGGTCAGGCATTTCGTTCTCCACGTGGAGGTTAGAAGTACACTGTTAGGCATTTCGTCCTCCACGTGGAGGGTAGAAGTACACTGTCAGGCATTTTGTCCTCCACGTGGAGGGTAGAAGTTCGTCCTCCACGTGGAGGGTAGAAGTACACTTTCATGCATTTCGTCCTCCACGTGGAGTGTAGAAGTACATTGTCAGGCATTTCGTCCACGTGGTATGTAGAAGACACTTTCATGTATTTCGTCCACGTGGTGTGTAGAAGTACACTGTCAGGCATTTCGTCCTTTACGTGGAGGGTAGAAGTACACTGTCAGGCATTTCGTCCACGTGGTGTGTAGAAGTACATTGTCAGGCATTTCGTCCATGTGCTCTGTACAAGTACACTGACAGGCATGTCGTCCTCTACGTGGAGGGTAGAAGTACACTGTCAGGCATTTCGTCCACGTGATGTGTAGAAGTACACTACCAGCCATTTCGTCCACGTGGTGTGTAGAAGACACTTTTATGCATTTCGTCCACCTGGTGTGTAGAAGTACACTTTCATGCATTTCGTCCTCCACGTGCAGGGTAAAAGTACACTGTCAGGCATTCCGTCCTCCACGTGGAGAGTAGAAGTACACTGTCAGGCATTTCGTCATCCACGTGGAGGGTAAAAGTACACTGTCAGGCATTTCGTCCTCCACGTGGAGGTTAGAAGTACACTGAGTAGTATGGTAGCAGCACATATCCGAGGTGACGTAACGTGACGCAACCCCGAAAATATGCTGCTACACTGACGTCATACACGTATGACGTCACGACGATAGGTCTCGTGACGTCACGACCTACAAACGAAGGTAGTGACGTCACTTGATGGTGACGCAACCTGGAAAATATACTACCACACTGACGTCATACACGTATGACGTGTCACGACGATAGGTCTCGTGACGTCACGATCTACAAACGAAGGTAGTGACGTCACTTGATGGTGACGCAACCTCTAAAATATACTGTCACACTGACGTCACGCCCTACAACGACGGTATTGACGTCATATGGTCATTTAGCCGTCACAAATAAGGGTAATGGTCGTCTAGTACGTGTTCGTGCATGTACGTGTGTGTGTGTGTGTGTGTGTGTGTGTGTGTATGCGCGCGCATTTGACATCTACTAATGACGACACACTAACAAAAATGGCCACCATAAGAATCCATCCGTCAAGCTAAATTCTCAATTGCTCTCAGACGCGTTTTTACCTCATAAATGCACCATTAGCGTGCCAATAATATTTGAGTTTTTGAAGGAGGCTAGGGAATCTCGTGCTGTCTATGTAAAGCTCTCTACAATACTAGACCGCAAGAAACACCTAGACACTCTTAATCACACGACCACCCCGTCTGTGTAAAGCTCTCTACAATACAGGACGGTAAGACGGTGATATTCTACATGAAACAAGATGTGAGGTAGAAAACGGCAAAGCAGCAAGAGTGGTACCGAGTGTTACGTTCTTTACCTCGTATCGTAAACCCAAAGCGGGAATGAATAATAATTTTGAAGGAGGTCTGTAAATGTCGTACTGCCAATGTAAAGCTCTCTACAATACTAGGCAGCAAAACAAATGTAACAAGACACTCAAAAATAACACACCCTCCAGTTTATGTAAAGCTCTCTACAATACAACACGGGAAGGCGGTTATATTCTACCAAATACAACAAAGAAGATATTGGGTCGGACAGTCTATGTAAAGCTCTCTACAATACTAGACCGCGCGAGCACCGTATCCCTCGTTGTTTAAACCACCCCAAAATATACCCACGAGGTAGACAACGTCAACACTTTTATATAAAACACAACAGAGACTAGTAAAAACAACATTTCACAAATTTTATTCGTAAATATGCACAACTATATTTCTACTCACAAAACAGTTGGGAGACCATATTTCCCGTCCACAGACAAGGTGTCTTCGTTTCCAGAGTGCGATACTTTTCCCTTCTTATTGAAGAAAAGTTTACATCTTTCTCCATCCCTCTGCTCATTATACGATTCGGGAACGTAGCAGCAGGACATCGTTGTACGGAGCACTCAAAATATACAGCCTCACTCTCGGGCAGACGGCTTCTAACTAGCTACTGCGTGTCGGTGCTCGTGATACTCTTGTCACCATCAGCGGTTACGTGCGAAAAGAATAGGGGGCGTGACCTAAGGGCGCCTCGTCCTGCCATTGGACGGTAAGGGGTCAAATCCCGGTCCTGGACATAATTATACCTATTACATCAAACACAGGCGTTATCACCGTGGGTACCTAGCTGCGTAAACGCTAAAAGCCACGCTTAACACCTCTTTGTATGTTTGGCTAGTAAAATCGGTTTGCTTCGAGTCGGCGGCATGGGAAAAAATCGAGAACATTCCTACAGCTCTATCAATAACCTAATTTTTCCCTCGTCAAAATCCATGGCTCTTAAAGTTCCTGAGTATACTCTTCTTGGTATTATCATGCCATCTGGAAACCATGGAAGCGTAATACTTTTACTGAAATGGCGATCGCAAGCTACCGACGACAGGTTTTGTACACGAACTCTTTTGTAGGAATAATGCAAACGACCGTATCTTGCCTCAAAATCGTGAAATTCGGGCCATATTCGTGTGTAATCTATACCGTACGAGTCGTGCATGTGTAATCTACCCGGTTCGCTTTTTCTGTCCGTGTTGCAAATAAACAGTATAGGATATTCCAATCTCTTCACCCCACTACAGTCTATTTTATTACCACACACCTCTACCAAAGTATCTCTGCTACTTTACCGCCATAGTTGTTTTTAAGAAAAGGCTCATTACGTCCAAACTGTACGGATAGCTGTTGACGGTATGGTTTGAGAGTGATATGCACCCCAAAGGTCCCGAAGGGTAATTGAGCGTGTCCGCGTTGTAGACATGACCATACACGTCCGACACGCGCAGCAGGAAGACGAAAATCGCCTCTATTATCTTACGCACCATATGTCCTCGGTTTATCGCATATTCCTGCTGATGGGTCTAACCACCCTTATTACGCAATCGTTTCGACCACCGCGTGTGCCGAAGCCTTCGAAAATAACCCCTACGTACATCGTTAATCGGCCTAACTGCTCTAATCGTCCCCTATTATACACAATCGTGAGTGTCCACCCCGTCGTCTCTACACCCTTCTCCTTCGAAAATAATCCCCTACGTGCGTCGTTAATCGGTCTAGCTGCTCTAATCGTCCCTGTTATACACAACCGCGAGTGTCCACCCCGTCGTCTCTACACCCTCTCCTTCGAAAATCAGTCTAGCTGCTGCAATCGTCCCCTAACCCCTTACGTACATCGTTAATCGGTCTAGCTGCTCCAATCGTCCCCTATTATACACAGCCGCTAGTGTCCACCCCTTCGTCTCTACACCCTCTCCTTCGAAAATAACCCCTTACGTACATCGTTAATCGGCCTAACTGCTCTAATCGTCCCCTATTATGCACAGTCGTGAGTGTCCACCCCGTCGACTCTACACAATTTTTCCCTTCACATAGACTTACAGAAGAAGAAGAAGAAAATATTTTTATTTTTTTGTCACATGTTATATATAAAACATACATAAACTTAAAAACATTCAATAAAATATAACATCCGGCCATATGGCCTATGAGACACAAGGCACTATATTATATCTAAAACAGATAGTAGTAAATAAAATATCACAGCTTTGTAAGCAACAATGGAGTGTGGTATATATATTTAAG